GGATGCAAGGTAGTTAGAGTCCCTAGGTTTAAATTTTAGAGGTTTACGGCTTAGGGGTTTAGGGCTTTGGGGTTTAGGGCTCAGGGTTCAGGGTTTCGGGTTTAGGGCTTAATCATAGTAATGCAGAAAGATGGCACATGGCTTCAGGTGACGAGTGCCAGGACTATACTTCACCAAATTTCGGGCTTCTACTTTAGGCCCCACCTGCATCCAAAACACCCTCCCTTGTAAGGGTTCCTCTTTGTGGTTTCCTTACATAAGCTTACAAAGAGGTAGGTTCGTTGGGGTGAAGGTACACCATACTTAAAGCATCATGGGCTTTAGTAAGTATAGTTATAAGTACCTTAATTGGGGTGATATGTAATTATAGGTTATAAGTATAGTTGCCCTAATTATAACCCCAGATACTAAGTCCCATGACCCTTTAAGTAGACCCTGTGCCGCTGTTGGGGTTCGGCGGGACCAGCGGCTTGGCCACCCTAAACCGGAAACCAAACCCTAAACCCTGAACTCTGAACCCTGTAAACCCTAAAAAACCCACACCCTGCGCATACCCTATACCCTGTAATTACGTCTCTATACCCTTAACCCTGAACCCTAACCCTAAAGCCTTGAGCTCTACACTTCGCCAGGACATACAGTCGATGAAGGCACCCGGCCTGACCAAGATGCCCCTGCCGCAGTCACCATCCCTTAAGGGGCTGGTCTGATCAAGCATCTCAGGTGTGCCCGAGGTTTACGCAAGCTTCTCATGTCGGGCTGTGCGGCCCGAACTCCTCAAGCTTGAACCCTACCTTATGAAACCCCTGGAAACCTGCCGCTTAAAGGGTTTCTACAGTTCATGGTGAAGAACCCTGAAAAGGTGAGGTTCTCTAGGATTCAGGTCTGCCCGAAGCCACATAAATGCACAAACCTGTACTTCTTAGAAGGGCCTGAGGATGGACAGGAGTCATGGCATCTTCGACTAAAGCATTGATTTTTTGGGGCGTCAGGGTTTATGTGGGTGCCAGCTCGTGTCGTGTGTTTCTATATGAGAACCGCTTGTTTGCGTCAGGGCTTCGCTTCAAATTTCAATGTGCTCATTTTGCGAACGAAAAGTCAAGAGCAATACTGTTGATCATATGAAGCCGGCATTACCTTAAGGACCCTAAACTATGGGAATTACGGTATATTCCTTATTATGGGTCATGCAAGGTTTATACCATCAACCGTATCATGCTCTTAGAAATAGTATGTCGGGATATGTGAGCGTGACAGAATGACTGCCACAGGCAGCACACGGAAGGAAGAGTTACTGGGCAGTGCATTTGGGCCTAAAGCATTACCAATATTATTCCTTATACTATAAAGGAGCCCAAAACCCTATCAAAATTACTAAGGTGCATACATTAGTTGCACATGAAATCTGCTCTAAAGCTACGTGAGGTCTGCATGGTTAAAGGGAACTCCAGAAAGTTGGAATATGGTTTCAGGGTAGGATACCTTATAATTTACCATAAAGAGTTTAGGATAATCATCTTCCAACTTTCTGGCTTTTACTTTAGGGCTTTATAGTACTTGGAGGGTCGGGGGACTTAGTAAGTAGTTACTATATAGACTTATGGGTACCTTAATGGGGACCCTAATGGGGGTTATGGTACCTATAACTCTACAGTAGAAGCCAGAAAGTTGGAATATCATTATCGTAACCCCTTTAAGGTAAATTATAGGGGATCCTACCATTAATCCATATTCCAACTTTCTGGAGTTCCCTTTATAATTTTATTGTCGGGCAATGGCGAACCTTCGTCTGATAACACTCGGTTTGCAGTAGCAATCACGTCACTTTTATATGCATGGGTAGTTGTCAATATTAAGATCCCTTTTTGGGTACCCTAGATATTAGGTGCCGTATTATAGTAGGGACCGAAAACGGAACCCTAATTTTGACAACCACCCACCTGTCTCATTGAACAGGTAGAGGATGTCCCAGGTACGATCTTACATGTGTTTTTGCAGACCCTAAGCCCGAGACCCTCAAATCATTTGCGCTTGACAGGACCCGGATACCTCAACCCCTCCAAGACCCCGGGCATAGCAACGGGTAAATTTGCATCTGCTGCAGATGAACGGGACATGGAAGGCCGAAGCGCTATACTGCCCAATACACCGTAATGACTGGTTTCTTCAGCCACGATAAAAGCCCCGTGATCGCTAAACCCCAGCATTTGAAGCCAAATTCCGAAACTGTCAGCCGCTATAAACCCTTAAGCCCTAAAACCCCAAAGAAGCGCTTCTTGTCGCCACGATCCTTTTGCCGAGAATTGCATGCGCTGTCAACGGCTTGCTGGCACGAAAAGACCGAGACATCGCCAACAGAAAGTGCCCACTTTGGGGGAGGGGGGGGGGGTTGAAGCTCAGGGATTCCCTTTAGGGTCTAGGTAGGCCTTTGGGACATTTTATATTTCTCTTGTTGGGCTTAATAGGACCCTATTTACGAATATTTTTCAGAGGCTTTAAAGGGCCAACCTAGGGCTTTAGGAGTTTAGGACTTGGGGTCTAGGGTGTTGGGATCCTGATTTTTGTTTGATTTATACATGTATAAGTCATATGGATGGTTGTCAAAATCATGGTCCCTTCTTGGGTCCCTATTGTAGTACTGCATTTAGGGTACCCCGAAAGGGGCCATAATTTCGACAGCTGCCGATATATGACATGGTCGGTTTTATAGGTTTCAGGGCTTGGGGCTCGAGGATCAGGGGACTTAGCAAGTAGGGTTATAGGGTACCTTAATTGGGGTTACAGTTACTTATAAGTACAGTTGCCTCACTTATAACCCTAAACCCTAAACCCTACTAAGTCCCCCGATCCCTTAAGTGGGGCTCCGGGACTGATGTACTCCTGAACTCTTCGCCTGGCGCCTGAACCCGAAGGGTAAAAAGGACCCAATAATCAGGTACTCGGTTCCTTTAAGAGGGTTGCTATTAGGGTTCTATAAGGTTCCCTTTAAGAGGGTTACTATAAGGGTTCTACTGTATGGGCCTTAAGAATTAGGTACTCGGTTTTAGGATAGTAGTTATGTAGGTTAGGATTTCGGAGAGTATATGATTATTAGGTACTTCGACCCTAGGGGGAAAGAGTGCAGGGGTGAGGGGGTTTGGGGGTCGGGGATTCTAGGTTTCCGAAATCCAAAACCGCAAATTGGTCCATGCACCGCCCTGCTGTGTGCAGTTACACCCTATCGCTTGGGTCATAACTCTCTGTTTTGCAGGGTTCAGATGCACAGGTAAAGCGTCTGAACCTCAGAAAAAGCCCCACCCGAGGCCGCCCAAGCCGAAGACTTGAAAGATTGGAATGCCCAACTTTTTTGGGCGTTGAGGTTTAGGCGTTTAGGGTTGCAATAAACCCGAAACCCTAATCCCAACATACGAGTGGTTGTCAAAATTAAATTGTGGTCCCGTTTTGGGCCCCTAGTGCAATAAAACCCCTACTATTTAGGGTACCCAAAGTCTGGACCATAGTTTTGACAACTACCCATACGGCTCTCTGAAGTCAACCCTCGCTGCGAAGTTTCCGGGAGGAATCCTTAGTCGGTTTAGGGGTTTAGAGGTTTAGGGTTTAGGCCTCAGACCCAACGTGAAGGGTACGGAACTTGGAGGTTCATGGGTAGCTATGCGGTTCCTGTGAGGGATCTACAAGGGCTCTGCAAGGGCTCTAGTTGGAGGTAGGTACAAGTGGGGTTCTAAGTCCCCGAATATATGCTATAGTTATTGACTAGAGCTATCCTACTCGTAAACCCTACTTAAGCTACACATGAACCTCCAAGACGGGTACGGTAAGCGCTCTTCAGCACTCCACAGCCGTACAAAACCCACAAAGGGGTTCCTCATTTTGATTTCCGTGAAAGTCTGCGAAAAGGGAGGTCATTTCTGGCTGAGGTAATGTAGGAACCTGACAAAGAAACCCTGGGCCTATAACGATTCATATATGGAACCCAAGTAAAGGCCGAAGGTTTCTTAATTAAGTTCCTACATTAGGTTTTAAAGGTAAGTTTTCCGTGCTTGGTGCCTAGAGTCTAGAGGTCTTGGGATCGAAGATTTAGCTTGTACCATGGGGGCCCGAAATAGTTCCAATACTGTCTTGGGGTCCCTTACTATATGTATAGTTTTCGTGTAATACCCCAAAACATTATTCTAATTGTAAAGGCCCTCGTATACCCTTGTAGCATGTTTGCGTTTGCTTGTCGCTGGCCTTGAAACCCTAACCCATCAACCTTGAACCAAGGATAAAAAAGAGGGACCCTTCTTAAGGACACCTGGGTATACAACCTGAATAGAGCTATGTCATACCCATTATAAGCCTGTTATGGGGTAGAGATCCCCATTAAGAGTCCCTCCGTTTGCCCTTTGATTAAACCCTATGCCCTAAACTTTCTCCGCGCAGCCATCAGCCCATTGCCCCGACCGGACAGGCCCACACACGAAGCCCGCAAGCGTAAGCTTCACAAAAGCATCCCCAAGCCAGTTCAAAGGGCTCATGATCTAAGATGCCTTCAACCTTGGGTACTGCCCCCACTCAGTAACTAGGACCCAGAGTAGGCCCTTATTCCCTTTTTTAGGGTTCAGGTCCCCTTATAAGCCCCTTTAAACCAAAAAGGGCATCCTTTTTATGCCTGGCTTACTCTTGGGTCTAGGTAATGAAGAGATTCGAAAATATAGAGGTTAGATCCAGAGGCCCCGACCCCGTCCAAACCGTTCTAAAGGCAAGAAGGCTATGAAGCTGAGAGGGTTTATTGGTTCCGCCGAGACATCCCGACTCTGCTGCCCGTATTGGCCATAGGCCGAAAACCCATAAAACCGAACTTCTTCGATAATGAACAAAAATACAGTAACATAAATAAAGTAGAACATACCCCCAAGGAATCCGTAAGACAAGCAAACCTATTCGGAATTTCATGGCCCCTGCCAAGGTCGAGGGTTTAGTTGTTCAGAGTTTCACCCCTTGAATTTCTGTGTGATTCCATGCCGCAGCCGGAGCGCCGGCCTTTGGCATTTCGGCAGCAACAGCGAGTATAATGCCCCAGAGAGCCCAATACCCCTTAATTAAGAAATATATGGCTTAAATTTTATAGGGCTTCATATTATGATTTAAGCTATATTCCTTAATTAAGGGGTATTGGGCTCTCTGGGAACAGCGAGTATACTGCCTCAATATTGGGTACGGCCCACACTCAGTAACAGTTGGATAATATTCATAACATAGATATATAAGGCCCCAAAAAGTAACCCAATTATAGACTGTTACTGTATGGGGGCCGTACCCAGCCTCAATAACTAGAATAGGGACTGGCCGTAATGAGTAGAAAAAGGCTTGGAAAAAGGCTTTAAAGGGGCCTTAAAGTTCAGACTATTTAAGGATTTCTGAACACTCTGTAGGCCTGTAGGGCTTTAGGGCATATGCTAGTAAATCGACAGTTCGAACACTATGTATATATTATTAGTTTTTATGGTTAGGATCTGTTGTCTTCAAAAGTAGGCGCCCTACAAAGGGGGGTAGGGGATGAGCCTCTACAGTAGAAGCCAGAAAGTTGGAACATGGCTTTAGGAGGATTGATGATGCTAGGATCCCTTATACTTTACCTTAAGGGCATGAGGAGTCTAGTGTTCCAACTTTCTGGCTTCTACTATAGGTACACCCTAAACCTGCAGGGTGGACGATTTTGCTCCAGGCTTTCATGTACCCGGCAAGGTGTCGGGCCAAGGCGCTTGAGCAGGGTGTGGGTGGTTTTGTGGCTTTGAGTTTGAGGGTCTATAGAGCCTAAGAGTGTTAGGGTTTCAGGGTTTAAGATGATTCAGGGTTCAGGGCTTGGGGGTTTTAGGGTGCACGGCTTCAAGGAACACTGATCCGTCAACCTGCGCTAAGCCCTCACCTCTGCACTGTAATTCCTAAACCCTCCACCCTAAACCCTCCTCACTTGGCGTTCTTCTGGTTGGCTCTTAGAACTTTAACTTTTTGGGTTTCTATATGAGCTATAATAAGGAGGCTAAAAGTTGAACTCTTAGGAGGGTTCAGAAGTCAGCCAAGCTCAAACCCTGAAGCCCTAAACCCTAAAGCCCTTAAAGTCCTGCTCAACGCGGCTCTCCCGACCTCTCTGCGGTATGGAAACAGGCTTTCAAACAAAATCCCTAAAGTCCTAAAGCCCTAAACCTGAAAGCCTTAAATCCCTGAACCCCTAAACCCTAAATACCCTAAACCCTAAATCCTTACAGAACCCTTTTAAAGGAACCCTTAAAGAAACCCTTACACCACTAAATCCCCTAAACCCTAAAACCTTAAAAATCCTAAACCCTTAAAAACCCTAAACCCTTAAAGCCCTAAACCCGTAAACCCTAAACCCCTAAGCCCCTAAAGCTTAAATCCCCAAGGCCCCAAGAGTTCTCCGGTTGCCGAGGCCGCTTCGGTGGAGGATGCATTGCAGGAGTTGCAGAGGCCGGTGGGTTTAGGGCTTATAGGGTTTAGGGTTTGGGGTTCAGGGTTTAGGGTTAGGGCTTTAGGGTTTAGGGTTGGGGGTTGAGGGGTTTAGGGGGTTTGGGGTAAGTAGAGGGTATAGGGTTTAAGAGAGCTTATAGGGTGTATAGGGTTGTAGGGTACAGTGTTTAGGGCTTTAGGGTTTAGGGTTTATGCATGGTTTATTGGAGTCCTGGGTTTAAAGCAATGCATTAGGGGTTTAGGCTTTGGAGTTTACTTATCTGTGGCTCCACCTTGTTTGCTTCGAGTAGCTAGTAGGGTTGTTTTTTAGAAAGGCTTTGCGGTCAAAACTTGGGCTTATGGGGTGCCTGGTTCTTTGTTCGAATGTGCAAAAGCCGCAGGCCCTAAACCGTAGTTCCCCAAGAACCCTCTATTCTACCGCATATGTCGTAAGGTTTGGATTTGAGCGTCTGCAGGCTTAGGGTTTAGGGCTTTAGCGGTTTCGGGGTTTTCTGTTCAGCTGGACTCCAAATAACCTACCTTTCTAGGGTTCCTAGTATGGTTTCTTTATATGTAAATTCGTAGAAAAGCCTGTGATTTGGGGTTAAGGTAGGGTTCCGTGCTATGATTTCTCTGTATAAATCTTTAGAAGAAAAGGTAGGGTTTGTAGTGTTAAGGTAAGGTGTTGGGGCCTTAACCTTAATTTGAACAAACGCAAGTATGATTTTCAGGGGGTTCTTCGAGCTCTTTGGGGGTAAGGTACCCATGAACCAAAACACCTACCTTTCAAAGGAACCATAATATAGAAACCTTAATAAGGAACCCTTAAACATATGTTTTTTCTTGGCATTTCTTGGCCAAACACCCCAAACCTTAAACCCTAAACCCCTGAACCCTAAACTACACCCTACCTAAAAGGGTAGGGGTTTTTAGGGACACCTGGCGAGGCAGCAGCAAGTCGCATGGCAAAGCTTCTCAATGCTCCTCGGCCGGTTCTGGGCGTTAAAAAAGGGATTCCTGAACCTCTCCTGGACCCTGAGGAACCTACCTTTTTAGGGTTCCCTAATAATCAATATGATTTCTTTAATGTAGGAAACTGATTAAGAAACCCTGGGCCTATAACCTCAAAATAGTAGGATCCATGTGAGGAACCCTAATAAAGGCCCAAGCTTTCTTAGTCAGGTTCCTACATTACACGCGTCAAACACAAATCCTTCTTCTTCTTCTTCTCCTTAATCCTGGACCTGACATTCTGGATCCCAAAGTCTGAACCTTTAAATCCTGAAGCCCTTGCTAGACCCAGAAGCCATAGCCTCTCAACCCGACAAGCAGAGCGAAATAATCAGCTAAGACCACTGTATGAACCGACGGTGCACATTGCCCGAAACCCTTCCCTACACCCCAAACCCTAAACCCTAATCCCTAAACCCTAATCCCTCAACCCTAAACCCCAAATCTTAAACCCTAAACCTCCTAGCACTTCACCGGTGAGGCCTGGCAGTTGGTAGCAGTTTGCTTTACGGTATGGAGAGCCTCGGGCCACAATGTTTCTCGGGCTTTCGGTTGAGAGTTTGGGGGCTCAGGTGCAGGCCTGAATATTGACCAGTTCAGTACTTGGAGGATCATGGGACTTAGTAAGTAGGGTTATAAGTACCCTAATTGGGGTTATAAGTATTTATAAGTATAGTTACTCTAATTATAACCCGAGTTACTAAGTCCCATGACCCTTTAAGTACTCTTCCTGAGCGTTCCTTAATACGACAATCAACCCTATCCTAGTCCGTCAGTCTCGTATAGCTTACTCCAAAACCTTATTGTAATCATAGGTCACCTTTCCCTAAGGGTCCATGTACCCAAATAGTATATACTTTGGCCCCAAAGTACCTATATAGACACTACTTTAAGGCCAAAGTATATACTATTTGGCTACATGGACCCTTCAGCCCTATAAACCTAAACCCATATGGTACCCTTAAAGGAACCCTTCAACGAACCCCTATTTGTTTTAAACCCTGAGGCTCTAAACCCAATCTTCATCTGAGGCTGAAAGAGCAGCATAAGCAGTGGCAGCAGAGTGTGGAACAGTTCCTTGTTTGGCATCTTCTGGGTTGGGGGGAATTCTACTGTTGATGATATAAATTTTGCATTACCTTCATGACCCTAGACTGTAGGAATTATGGTATGTTCCTGATTGTGGGGAATGCAGGATCTATAGCATCAACCGTAGGACTTAGAGTAGGCCCTCATCCCTCTTGTTTAGGGTTCAGGTTCCCTGATAAGCACCTTTAAGCCAAAAAGGGCACCCTTTTTATTCCTATGTTACTCTTGGGTCTAGAATAAGACTCTGGGACTATGGTCGTCAGAAGTTTGGGGCTGAGGGCTGACCGTTATAAAGGTACTGCGCAGGTTACTTCTGAGGGATGCTATCTGGATAGTTCTCTGAATCAGGGTCTTCTTTTAGGGTTTGTTTTGTATGGGTGCCGTACTATTTGGGAGTTTCCGAAAATGGGGGTACCTTATTTTGGGACCCTTATCATAAGAATCCTACAATTTAGGCTACTATATGAGGGTCCCCTTTCGGTTCAAGCCAGTCACTGAGGCTCCACGAACACTTGGGTAGTTGTCAAGATCAGGGTCCCTATTTAGGGTACCCAAAAAGGGACCATAATTTTGACAACTACCCTTGCATGTTCGCAGCAGAAACCTATTGGCTGTAAACTCAACTTTTCAACTTTCGTGGGCTCTTATAAGGTGGTCGATTCTGAGAGTTTCAACTTTGTTTTACTGGGTTTTGGGCTAGTGAGTAAACAGGCGAATAGAGAGACACTCAGTATTAGGCCCACTAGTTAACCGTAAATCCCGTGGTTTGGGCATGTAGGGCCCATGGGTGGGGACCCTCCCAAATGGATCTACATTCCTCGTTTGGAAGTAGCTAGGGCCAGGGGCTACACTGAAGTTGAAGGAAAGCCCTAGCCCCCAAACCCTAAGCCGAAATCACAACCTACACCACCCCTAGAACCATAAAGCTTCCCGTACTATGCAAGTAAACTCTAAAGCTACCCTCAAAAAGCACGGAAAACCCTAAACCCCTAAACCGCGCAAACCCCTTAAACCCAGCACCCTAAACCCTGAACGCTGAGTTGTTTTAGTCTTAAAGGCTGATGAAGCAGATCGAGCTGGCACCTGTGGAGGAGCCGAACGGCTCGAAGAGTCCAGTGCGGGCCTCGTGAAATCTGACAGACGGAATTATGTGGGTCAGAGTTTAGGGTTTAGGGCAGTTTAGGATTTAGCACGGTTTAGGGTTTAGGGTTTAGGGCAGTTCAGGGTTTAGGGCAGTTTAGGGTTTAGGGTTTAGGTGGTATAAGGAAGACCCCTTAAAGGGGACCCTGGTAACCCTGCCCTGCTTCCGGCTCTCTTAATCGGGACCTGATTGAGAGGGTCTATAGAGCATTATAGAGGTGGGTCAGGGTTTCGGGGGCTTGGGGGGGCGGGGGGGGGGGGGGTCTATATTCCTAAAGGGTCCTCCTAATCCGAACTCCTAGGTTTGGGATTAGGGGTGAGGGCTTAGGGAGCTTGGGGGGGTTTAGGGTGTAGGATCTGAGCTTTCTGAAACAGAGTTGAGGGAGTAGGGTGTAGTGTTTAGGTTCTCGAGTCTAGAGCTTAGGATTTTGGGTTTAGGGCTTAACTAGGTTGTCGAGTGACTACACCCTCCCGGTCACCCGGACCAAGCCGCTTGTGTCTTCATGTATGTCACAGGGTTGATAAGGGTCCCCTGTGGACGGGACCCCTGTGGGTTGGATTTGTCCACTGGGGCCTAATGGGGCCCAATGGCTTTCCCATTTGCCCCCATTAGGCCCCATTGGGCCCTATTGGGCCCCATTGGGCAAATGCAACCACAGGGGTCCCGTCCACAGGGGACCCTTATCAACTCTGTGAGTATGAAGGTATGCACATATGTATGTACACATGTATGCACTATACGTATGAATGGATGGATGGAAGGATGGAAGGGAGGATGGAAGGATGCATGGACGCAAGGTATTCATGTATGTGTGTGTGGACATATGCAACACTCCCGACAGACCCCAGTCCTCACCAGTGAACCCTAAACCCTAGAACGTGCGCTCCCCTAAACCCTAAACCCTAAACTTCCCTAAACCCTGAACTGCCTAAACCCTAAACTGCCCTAAACTGCCCTAAACCCTAAACTGCACTAAATCCTAAAAACCTTGAATCCTAAACCATAAACCCGAAACTGCACTAAATCCTAAACCCTAAACCCGAAGCTGCCCTAAATCCTAAACCCTAAACCCCAAACCCGACACCGTGTCTTCATCAGTGCACAGGCTCGCGTGGAGAAGTCCTATGAGCTCAAGTCTGCCAGCCCTTCCATCGCGCCTCGACTGTAATATAGGGGCCTTACTTAAAGGATCATGGGACTTCGTAAGTATGGTTATAAGTACCTGAATTGGGGTTATAAGTTTTTATAAGTGTAGTCATATGGGGAGTTTCCGAAAATCAGGAGTACCTTTAAAGGGATTTTTAAAGGGCTCCTTAAAGGGATCTACAAGGGTTCTATACAGGGTTAGAGCCTATTAGGGTTTAGAGTGTAATATAGGGGCCTTTTCCGGGGTACCCTTTTTTACAGGGGTTCCTTTAAAGGGCTACCTATGAGGCTACTATAAGGTTTCCTTTCAAGGGCTCTATAAGGGTCTGGAGTTTCCGAACATTCGGGGCGCCTTTTAGAGGTCCTTTTAAAGGGTTACTATAAGGGTACTGTAAAGGGTTTAGGGTTTAGAGCTTCCGAAAATTAGGGGGGGGTACCTTATTTTGGGTTTCCTTATAGTAAGGATCCTACTGTTTAGGGTACTATATAATTAGGGTCCCCTATTTTTGGAAACTCCCATGTCTCCCGGCCGTCTACGATTGAGTACAGGAGCTTGTTAAAGCATAGTGGAGGAGCTCTTGAACCGCACACGCAGTGAGCTGCCGGTGTCCGCCTGCAGTGAATGCTAAACGCAGTAGAGCAAGGAGGATTCACGATTGGGGTTGGTTGGGTTGAGGGTTTATGAAGCCGAAGCAGTGGTTGAGGATAGCGACTGAGATGATGAAAGAAATTAGTTGCCATCTCAGCATAGGTGTGGACGATGATTATGTTGGCCATTGCGATGACTGTTGTTGCTATCGTCTTGGCTGGTGGTGCAGGTGCCGCTCCCGGTGATAGGGGTGATGGAGCTGGTGGTCATGTTGGTTGGGGTGCTTCTGCTGCTGCTCCAGGTGTCAATGGTCAATAGCCGAAATGGAAGCAACTCCTGCGACAGCTGCCCCAGCACAGTTGTAGGGAAAGTCAGTACCTAGGATCAGGTACACAGCGCATATGTCCTAGGTGCAATGCTGTTCAGTAATGTATCAGTTGTTATTTCAGTTGTTGTTGAGTAGTCAGGCACCATCCTCAAACCTAAAGATCTTTGCAGCAAGGCCCTGCAGGCATGCTTGCCACTCAATCCCTAAACCGACAACCCGAATACCTGTATCACTAGGACTTAGAGTAGGCCCTTACTTCCTTTTCTAGGGTTCAGGTTCCCTTCTAAGCCACTTTGAAGAACCCTTTTTATTTGGGGTCTAGATCAAGAATATAGTTTCAACCCCCAGTCAAACGAATTGGGGTTCAGAGGTCAGCGTTTAGGGTTCCGGATTCTATTTAGCCCAGAAGCAGGAACTTCCCGAAAGGTGCCTGGACCCGACATGTGAAGAGACCGACCCCAGGTAAGAACATCCTTCCAGCCAGATACTGCAGGGGCCTTCATAATCACCTATACTGACTATTTTGTGGGTTCCTTATTGTAGTTATAGTATAATGGGCCCCAAAACCATGCTGAAACTATTAAGCCCCCCCATCTTAATGTGGACATTGTGGCTTCTCCAGCCACTCAATAGGGGATTCCGGTAAGTTTGTTTTCTGCTTAGGTTATAGCTCCACCTTTGCGTTCTGCTCCGTTAGCAACGCATGCTGTCCAAGAGGCAAGTCCCAATGCCTATATGAAACGCATAAAAATGTATCACGATTGCAACCAATTAATGTTTACTCTGGGCGCAACTAATATGGGGAAAAGGGCTCTAAATGATTAGAAAATGTGTCGGGGAGTCTATTGATAGGCGGGCTTAATCGGACACCCAAGTAAAGCCCAAAAATGCTCTGCGGAGGACACGCACCTCCAGCTGCACGATACGGAAGGCCTGGCAGCAGAGCAGCTCGTATAGGCGTTTGAATCCTAGAAGCATCCCCTTATGGTAGCTACATAATGAGACTTCTGTATGTTATTCTCTAATCTCGACGGCTACTCTATACCACCACTACTACTACTACTACTACTACTACCACTACTGCTACTACTACTACTACTACTACTACTACCACCACCAGTACCGGCACACACCCCGGCCTCAAACCCGACAGTCGTGTTGCAGGCGTGATGGAGGACAAGACGTTGGATCTCTTGAAAACAGTCAAATTCTCAGAGTTCCTTGGCCTGAAGACAACGTTTTCGGTTTAGGGTTCAGGGTTCGTATTCTGTAAGCAGTTTCAATCGAGCCCAAAAAAAGACCTTAGTGAATAGATAACATTGGAGAGTAGATGTAACTATTATTCCTCAAGCTCCATCCCCCAAAGCCTACGAAGTAGCCCAAACAATCACCAATAGCATTCTTTAGTTTTCCTTCTCGTAATCATACTATAAAGGAACCCCAAACCCCGTTCTAATTGTCGGATTCCTGAATGATTGTTGACTAGCGAGGCCTCGAGAATCATCCGTGAAACGGACACCCTGAGAAAGCATGCCAGCAAAACTTGGTTACAAGAAGCTCGTGCTTCGAAAGTTCCAGATTTGCAACATTTTGGCGGTTTGGGTGTACCCTAAACCCTAAACCCTAAACCCTAAACACGAGACTACGGTCGAAAAAACCAGCGTTGATGATCGCGATATCTGAGATGCTCGAGGCCCGGGTTCCGGAGGCAATACGGGACCCCTCAAGCAGAGGAGCATGGTAGTACGGTTGATGACATAAATCCTGCAGTACCCATAATAAGGGATATACCATAATTCCCATAGTTCAGGGTCCTTAAGGTCATGCAGGATTTATATCATCAAGCGTATTCACTGTGTAATTTCTTATTACAAGCTTCCTGCAGCCGAAAATATTGCCGTTCTAGGTTCTGGATACTCTATTGCATATAACTACGCAACTGGTCTTTGGAGTACCATACTTTAATATAAAGGAGCCCTTATGAAACAAAAGTTTATACTTTTCTCCCTGGTTACTTAACAGCCCAGGCAACAGCTCGTTTTTTTTGGCATTCGGTAGTTTTGAACCTGGCAGTCCCGGACCCGGAACCTAAAGCACCGGTCGTGCGAGCTTCTGCTTTGACTTCTGCTACTTAGAGGATCATGGGACTTAGTGAGTATGGTTGTAAGTACCTTAATTTTGGTTATAAGTAACTATAAGTGTAGTGACCCTACTTATAACCCCAGTTACTAAGTCCCATGACCCTTTAAGTAGCGCCCAGAAGATTGGTTTCAAAGGCCCTTCCTTGCTTTCAGTACCTAAGTCGCTACATACCTATGCAGTTTACTTGTAGTACCCCCGTCGTTAGCAGGTTTTCAAAATTGGGAGAGCTCTCAGACTGAAAGCAAACCTGGAAAGGAGAGGGCCGTTGAAGAAGATCGTCGAGGAGGTGGTGAAGGAGGAGAAAGCTGCACGTAGGGAGAAGGCAGTGCCTTCCCAGCATTTTGTGTTTTGAGGCCGCTCTCGTAGGGGGTTTGGGCATATAGGGCACAGAGTTTAGGGCAAGTTTAGGGGTTAGACCGTCTGCCGACGGCATTTAGTGTCATGTCTGCCGCGCAGGGAACACAATCTAGTGTAGGGTATAGCGGTATAACTATACGGTAGCCTACATATAACCCTACTTATAGCTACACATGAACCTCTAAGTAGAAGTTAGCTCGGGGTATATATCGCCGGAATCCTAAACCCCCTGGACCCTAACCCCTACCCTGAACAGCACAAGCCCGAAACCCTATAGACCTTGATATATCCCGAGCTCTCAACCCCTGCAAAATCCTGAGACTAGGATGCCCAGTAGAACCCTTATTCCCTTTTTGTAGTCTTAGGTTCCTTATTGAGTTACCCAATGCCAAAAAGGGCGCCCTTTTTATTCCTAGGTTACTGGGCATCCCAGGAAAAGGCTCCCCGAATATGGGTTATATCTATAGTTATCCTACTACTTCTAACCCTACTTATAACTGCCCATGAACCTCCAAGTGCAGTCCTACATTGGTTTAGGGCTCCTTATTGTGATGTCCCGATCAACGTCCTTATGTCCTTTGGAATTAGTTAAGGTTGGGTTTATGTAATCCGAACCTTAGGTCAAGGACACCAAGGACACCCTCAACCCGAATTTCTACCATCTTTAATTCCCGTCCGTGGGCGGCTGTTGTTTCTGACTGCTACCCATTGAGTACAAGATGGTCCCCCGAAGTTGACGCTTCTGCTGTTCGATTTTTGGTTCAGGGTTTTAAAGCACAGGGTTTGGGGTCCCGGTTTCATGTTCCAGTCATGCCTTCGTCCTTCTTCCGGAAGCGCCAGAAGCAGGTTTTTGGGCCTCACAGATGACTCACGAAGCAATTTCCTCGAGGGTCCATGTAGACTTTGCCCTGAAAAGTATTTCGTTTGTAGGTAGGAGTTTCCGAAATCAGGGGTACCTTATTTTGGTGAATTCTATTATTTAGGGTACTATGCCAGGGTCCCCTATTGTCGGAAACTCCCAGGTACTTCTGGGGCCTAAGAGCCTCTCGTTGAGGGGTTTAGGGTTTATCTTAACCCGGAATAACCTACCTTTTGAAGTGCTTATATAAGGAAATCATAACAAGGAACCCTAAAAAGGTAGGTTAGTCAGGGTTAAGGTAGGGTTCGGGGCTTTGGCTTAGGATGTACGCACTCAGGAAATGGACAAGTGGGGCCACGTCGTGAAGGCCAAGACTGGTTCTGGCAAGGGTTGAAAGTTGAGGTTTAGGGTTTGGTTGTTTAGGGTTGAAGGTTTGGGGGTTTACAGTAGAAGCCCAACAGTTTAGCCTCAATCCTTAAGAGTAATGCCACAGGAATCCCAGCACTATTTGGCCTTAACCTGGTTTCCAACTTTGTGGGGTCTACTGTAGGGTTTGGGGATATGCTGTGATCTATTGAACCCTAAACTATAACATGGGACTGAACAGCTTGCGCATGAACCCTAAACACCCAAACCGTAACTCTTGACGAGGGCTGTTTGAGATTATATAAGGTTCAATGTTGGGTTAAAGGTTCCTCAGGGTGTCTTCCATCTCAGAAGGTTCAGCTGTATTGAGTAGCCATCGACCTTTTCCTGCGAATATAGTCCGAATCACAACCAAAAGGTAATTGCAAGTTCCGGTGCACAGGAAATTCAGCAACTACCGGTAGTAAAATGCTTCCGCTGCTTGATTAGTTTTACCACTTCCTGGCTTCTCTCTACGAACTCCTTGGTATGTTTCAGCTATTTCTCACTACAAACGGGTGGTAGGTAACAACGAACACTCTTCATTGTGCAAACGGATACTGGGAGCATGGGTCTACGGTGTTCAGGTCGTGCCCATGTTTGGGATCCGGGTCGGTTGTGGGATTGGAATGCACTCAGACAGGCAGAAAGGCACGCACAGATGCAGATTCAGGTTTACATTACATATATATATATATATATATATAATATGAACTTGCAGGGTAATGCTGCTGTCATCAGGTAAGGGTTCCCATCTGCACGGACTACTAGCAGTACTTTGACGAAGCCTCGAATAAGTCGTCTGGAGAAGTCCTGTTGAAATCTGGCTCGCAAAAATGGCACCGAGAATGTTTTGAACAAGTCCTGACAGACTCTTGGAGATTTCAGTTCTAGGTCCGCCCCTCCGACACTTGGGGTTTCCTGTTTCAGACTCTTGCATGAAGATTCCGGGTCAAGAATGGGCAGTAAACCCAAGGCGCCTGAAAACGCCAACTACAAGGTCCAGTTCACGGCGAACCCCGTGTATGCTCGCATGGCTCACCCCCTCCCGAGGTAGATCGCCGGGTTGTGGTGGTCCACAACTGTCGCGCCATCGACGGCAACCCCAATTGCAGCATCTCGCCAGCGGCGCGCAGCCCGACCATTCGGAGTACCGAGGCGGCGGAACCGCAGATGGACTTCAAACAACCCCGCAACAAAAGCCTACATCTTGCCGAACCTTCGATGTGCTGGCCCGGGCGGCGAGCTCGAGCCCGCCAAGGTGCCAGAGATGGCTTAAATCCGAAGCTGTTGTGAGCAAGATCAGCTACGTTTCCGGTGATGTTCGTGCCTGGTTCCTGGTTCCGGCACTCCACACCGATTGTGTGCGATGGTGACCCATGTTGGCCGCGCCGATGCAGTGGGCGAGGTCACTTGGACACCAGCAGACCCTGCAGACGAGATTTCTGCATAACTTCCGGCTGGGCAGCGAGTGCGGTCGTACCCGACCGCGGCTTTGTAATGGGAATGGTGGAGCTCGCTCCAACTTTCTTGAGAGCGTCCGGCGTGTGTATCGCGTCGACTGAGTCAGATTTGTCGTTCGGGAGGGTCTTTCTTCGGCGAGCATCGTGCGAGTTCGACCACGTGCAGAGGCGACGACCTGTCTGCATGTTCAAGGAGCGCGCTTGGATCCCCGACAGTTTACAGTGAGCTTTCTTTGCTAGTATTTTCCTACGCGGACTTTCTTGTCGGAAAACAATTCAAGCATGCCGCGCAAATCAATCGTGTCGGCATTCCGTCGTACAGCCTGAACTGATGCGGTTCTCGGCAAAACTGCTGAACCCTGAGTTCGCTGCGCACACGTGGTTCTCCGCTCACGAAGCCTGTGAACCCCACCCAAACCTCATTGCAAACCTGACCACTCCAAAACCCATGAATCCGAAAGCAACGCAACTCCCACAGCTCAAACCTTAGACCTTAGACTATCTTAGACCGGGATCCGGGAACAACACCATCGAAATAGCGCGCAGATGTGGCTGTCGTGGCTTCTTTTATTGATCCTCGAGAACACCCAGCAAAGGATCCTACGAAGAACTCATGCGGCAAAGCCAGTCGACTACTTTGTTGCTGATTGTTGCACTGATGCAACACTACCGCCTGCCATAGACTCGTGACAGTCGTCTCCTCGCCACAATTCGCGCCATTTGCGTGAAACCCAAGCCTCAAATCCCAAGTCCTTATGTATCCCTTACAGGACTTTTTGCGGACCCTATATTCGAAATCCCCAACCCCATACATAGCGGCCTCAAGAATGATGGAGCAGGTTTTTAATGTATTATGTTACAATTGAATACACATATATTGAATAACGGAGTCCATCTGTCAATCAGCAAGCAAGGCGATCACCGACATTGTGAGTTCACGGTGGCTGCCGAGCCGCAATGAGAGGCGTAGGCCTGCGAGGAACTCGGCAGATCAAACAATCAAACCCTGTACCCCTTCGGTTTTGGGTCTGCGGGGCTTAAGGTTGCATTTAGGGCCTTGCAGGTTAAGGGTGCGTAGTCGGTTTTGCTTCGTGCATGCCCAAAAACAGCAACCCCCTCAGCGGACACCCGGGATTGCGCGTGGTGTTGTAGTGGTTCCAGCACGGCTTCGCTGCGTGATTGCCAACTGTTTCTGTAGACGTGCGGCGTCACGCCGAATGAACTCATTCCACAGATATTTCCGGACCAATGTCTTTGATGCCATTCCAAGAGGGTTCACATATATCTTATACATGCATGTATATGGTTATTATGGAGCTAGGTTCCCTAAACCAGAACAAAGGATGGTTTTGTGGGGCCTTATTAACAATGTTGGTATGCATGGACCTTCTGGGCGTAGAGGAATACTTGGAGAACATCCACAGCGTTCAACATTTGTAGGTTTTGTCTGGATGTGGCGGCCAGATTCATTACGCCAGCTCCTGGTAGTAGTTGTTCCGTAATACTCCATACACTCCAAACTCATCCTCGCTTGAAAGCCCGATGTGGGTCCGGTGTTCAAGCGAAGCATATGAAAGCTCTACGTCTGCAAACCCGAACCCATGCCTCAACTTGCCAAAATTCAAACCGGAATCAGGTCTGCATTGACACATGGCCGCCCATTAGGATCGCAGCGACACAGCATGCAAGACGCACGTGTGCAAGGTACTGTTTGAGGAGTTCAGGTGTCGTGCAGGAATCCCATTCCACAGTTGATGCTGTCCATGCTTTGCAAATACGTGTCCACATGCCGGATGCCTAGATGGGTGAGGTACCCTTAGTCTTAGGTCATGTGAAATCATACAGTACTGGTTATGTGCACTACGACGGCCCACCCATCGTTCAACCGTAAACAGTCCAAAACATGATCCAACTAGCCCAGCCTAAGAAATCGATAGCCGAGTCAGGTTCGAATACTTGACGGGTTTCATCATCCTCTTGAACATGGTTACCATCGGGCTGGATGCAGTCGCTCCGCAGAATTAGAGACGAAGAGACAGGCTTGGGCAGTGCAGAATTTTCGTTTTTTTGAGGCAGTCCAGGACACACAAACACCAGCACGTGCAAGCGCACACAACCACGCACGCACACACACACACACAACAGTACATGCACGCCATGCGACCACACTCGCATTCACATACAAGAAGAATGCACACAGACACACACACACAAACATACACACACACACACACACACGCGCACCCACACACGCAGACGCACGCACACACAACACTCGAAATTCATAGCAAGAGTATCGATTTATCAAGTTCAACATGGATATTATATTCGCATGTCTTTATACTTGTAACTATCTATATATATATACACATAAAAACATTCATCCATCCATCCATCCATCCATCCATCTAGCCAGCCAGCCAGGCATGCATGCATGCATACATGCATGCATGCATGCATGCCTGCATGCGTTTAGCACCGTCTGCTTGTCCCATGCTGAATTCCTACTTCCTGCCCATTGCTTGCATTCTAAAACCTAAACCCCTTAAGCCCTAACCCTCAAAGCCTGAGGAGCTGTCACTGCACTCCGACTTACCCGGAGCTTACGACACAGAATGGATCAAGAACATCGAGCGAGGTTTTCTGGCAATCTACACTGTGGACGCTTCGCCTGGGAACATACGGTTTAAGAGTAACTTTGCAATGGGTTGATGTCTCAGGCATGCACGGCCATAGTTTATGCTTCGAGGCATCTTGAATCCTGAATCCTAAACCCTCAAAACCTAACATCCCTCATGCAATCCATATTGCAACCTTTGTACACCCCTGCTCAGCTTGCTGCCGAAGGTACGGCAGCAAATCCCACCTTGCGTCCTGAGCCAAAAGGTCTAGCCTCCTCACAGATCCATGTATATAATCTCTAAGTTACAGAAGCTTCCTAGACCCAAAACCATTCAGAGCATGGAGCAAGTAGCGGTTCTGCTGCAGGTGTTGGCCCTGTCCCCAAAACTCGAAAGCCCACCATCCCCAATGCCAAACCCAATGTAAACCCCCAAGTTTTGATCCTACCAGGACCCCCAAGCACCCTTTAATGGAGCCCTTACGGCCCTAGGGTAGTTGGGGGGGTACAGCTCGAACCCTAATCCCAAAGCTGAAGGCTCAGCTCTCGTCGCTGGAGTAGTCGGTCAGAAGCACCTGTCGTTTGAAGCGGTTACTCGTTTAGGGTTTAGGGGTTCAGGGTTTAGGGAGCCCAGTGACACTTGCACTTGTTTTATGTCGAAACCTTTTGGGAGTTCGGAGGATGTGATTGCACGATCTATGGACGTATCCACACATCATCAGATCAATAAGTCGATGGCACAGCAGATACACACAAGCAGTTCTCTATTAGATCGTATTACACATCTCCCGTAAGCCTTCAACCCTGACCCTCAACCTTACTCCTTAACCGTCTAGACATACTAGTTCAGGAATCGAGGTGACAGGCGAATGTAATGTCCGGGTATGCTCACACGTTGAGGCGCTAGGGTTTAGGGTTTAGCCACGGTTTAGGGTTTAGGTTTTAGGGTTGACGGTTGAGGCCCATATCACCGTAGATTAGAATCTCCGGGCATGAGCCCTCAAGAGTTCCACGGACCACTGTTATTTGGGTTACGTGTTGTAGCCCGGACTAGATGCCGACTTCTCTTGATAAGTTCTATTGTGGTTGGAAACGTTTGAGTCCCTAAACCCCTAGACCCTAAACTTCTAAACCCTAAACCCTGAACCCTAAACCCTGAACCCTGAACCCTCAACCCTAAACCCTAAACCTTAAACCCTGGTCGAAAAAGGGGCGCTTAAACAAAAAAACTTTAAACCCTTAAACCCTCAAGACAGAAATAAATAGAAATTGCTTGTCTTTGTTTGTAACACCTGCCGCGGCAAAGCAGTTGGGTTCAATAACAGAGCAAGTGTATCGATAAACCAATTTCTACAGAACCCTCACAGCCCCACCCACTCCAAGCCACCAAATTTGTTTTTTTGCCGTTTGCAGACCCCCTCCTTGCCCCCAAATTTGTCATTGTGGCCTTTTCCAAGCCCCCAAATTTGGCTGTTTGGCTTTTTCCAGACCTCCTCAAAGCCCGCAAATTTGGCCTTTCCCAAACCCCCTCCAAGCCCTCAAATTTGGTTTTTAGCAAACCCCTTCCAAGCCTTCAAATTTGTCTTTTTTTGCTGTTTGGCTTATTGGTTCCGCACCTGCGGATGTGCCGCCGGGAACCCCTCCCCACTTCACTAGACTTGATTGTGTCGGGAGTGCCGGGAGTATACTCAATACTTGGGCGTTGACCCCGGCTACGGAGGGGAGGAGACACACAACGCGATGTTGTGTTCGGGCCTCGCACATCCTACGAGTGAGGAGTAGTTTCATGCCATTGGTAGCCTTGCCCTTCGAGGCCCCCCCTGCGCACGCAGACTCGGTTGGCGTCCGACGGAGCCTTAAGAAGTGCTTCTGATATCATCTCTGCCGAACACGATCGTGCAGCAGGCCTCGCCGCCGTGAAAAACCCAGGAAGCCAGAGCGTAAAGCTCCGAGCCCGCTGGATAGCATTAAGAGCCAGCTGGGTGTCAGGGGCTGAGCCAGGGACGCCGAGTTAGCATCTTGCGGCAGTGGTTGACGCTAGTTGCGCCGCGCCTGTACCACCGTCAAACAGAAGAGAGCCCTTCTCATCGAGAAGGGGTGGACAGGCCAGCAACAAGCAGCACGAGAGCAAGAAGCGAACACAGACATGCGAGCAGGCTACACGTGGCAGAGGGTCCCGGATGGCGAGTGGATGCCTTGGTGGTATCTCTCGGACACCATCTGCTTCTGGGAAGAGGATATCTTCGAGGCAGGACAACCACAACAAAGGAGAGAAAGAAAGCGCATCCTTGCCACAGCATCGCCCAGGAGATCGCAGCAGCCGTCTGAGCGCCAGGTCCTGCGACAAGAGCGATTTTCCTCGAGGGCCCGAAAGAAGAGCGAAAGGCACTACCATCACCAACATGCACTCGTAGATCATGCCCGGAAGCTACAAGCAACTGCGATACGACGAAGCTGTTGGAACTCCAGACTCAGTAGACACATTTGAGCGATATACCTTTCCGCTCGAAGCGGAAAGGCCGGAGGACTTGTGTGCAAAAGCGGGTCGTGTATCCTCAGCCAGCGTGGGGTCCCAGGTGCGAAGTGTCGACTCGAAGAGAGACCCCAAGCCCAGCCCCGAGGCCCCCCCACTCAACCAAATTCAAAATGTGGTTTCAAAAGAGGAAACCTGCCCACAACGTTTCCTTCAAAACTTTCCCTCAAAACTTATTGGCACCCAAACCCTTAACAATTTCTATAAACCTGTAAACCCTACACCCTAAACCTCTAAACTCTAAACCCTAAAACCGTAAATCTTGAACCCTAAACCCTAAGCCTCTGGACCCTGAACCTCTGAACCATAAACCCGCTTGACTACTGGCCAGAGATCTACAGTGCAGCCCGGCGGGTTAATCCAGCAGGGGTTAATTTGAGGTTGAGGGTTTAGGGTCTACTTGGGCAGTTGTCAAAATTAGGGTCCCTTTTTGGGTCCTTATAATACGGCGCCAAATATTTAGGGCACCCAACAAGGGACCCTAATTTTGACAACCACCCACGTAACGGATCATGGGACTTAGTAAGTATGGTTACAAGTTATAAGGACCTTAATTGGGGGATCTAAGTAACTATATAAGTGTAGTTACCGCAGTAATAACCCCAATTACCAAGTCCCATGATCCTCCAAGTAGGTTCTGGGATTTGCAGAGGCAGAAAGCAATAGATCGCCCTAAACACGAAACCTTCACTTCCAACCCCTATATACAGGCCCTAAACCCTAAATACCCTAAACGGCATTTCACTCTAAAGCCTTGAACCCTGAACCCGTATAAGCCCTAAACCCTGAACGCCTTTCAACCCCCAAGGAACTGGTTCTTCGACTCGTGGGCGGCGGCGTGAGGATTCTTACGAGCTGGTGGTTCCTATTGGATGCATTCTTGGTGACCGTCCCCTGGCTTAGGGTCTAGGGTTTAAGGGTTCAGAGTTGAGGATGGTATATAATTTATGTCTATCTGTCTGTCTAAGTGTATGTATATATATATATATGTATGTATGTTATGCATATATAAACACGTACATGAATAAATAAGATAAGATATACATGTATTCATATACATATGTACACACACGTACTTATACGTACAAGAACCCTTTGGGAACTCGGAGGTTGGCCTGCTCGCGCTTGTGATTGTTCCGATCGTGGGCAGCGCCGAGCAGGAAATTCAAAATGAAAGATCTTCTAACTAAGTGGTCTATGGGTGGTTGTCAAAATTAGGGTCCCTTGTTGGGTGCCGTACTATAAGCAGGACCCAAAAAGGGACCCTAATTTTGACAACGGCCCATATGTAAAGGGTCTATACAGGTTCAGGGCCGACAGGACCCGCACCAGGGTGATGCAAGGATTTATGGATAAGGGTGCAGCGTGCAGTTCAGTCCCAGGGTTTACACATGCAGTGCATGCACCTTCCCGTTCCAAGAACCCCTCCCAAACCATGGTTCAGGGAGCTTACTGCTGATACTTGCGCTGCTCCTTCGTGGCGTGTTGCCTTTGCGCTGTGTGTGTTGGTGATAGCGGCTCGTACTTTCTTCTTCAAATTATGCTTCCTCATACCGATACAGTTTACCAGCCAGATGCACGTAACTGGTAGAGTTTACAGCGCTGACATGCACTGACCCTGCATCGTCCACAAACCCTGAACTCTGAAGCCTACTATATCTCAGGCCCCTTCCGCATTCCTTACCCTGAAGCCGGACGTCCTCATCCCTTAGTGGCTCCACGGTTTAGGGTTTGGGGTTTAGGGTTGACGTTTAGGGTTGAGGGTTGAGGGTTTAAGGTTGACAGTAGCAGCCCAACAGTTGGAAACCCCATAGCCTCAATCCTTAAGAATAATGTATAGGGAATCCCGGCACTATTTGGTCTTAATCCGGCTTCCAACTTTATGGAGTTTACTGCAAGGTCGAGGGTTTCGGGTTGAGGGTTTAGGCTTAATTAACCCTAAACCCTTAACCCTAAACCCTTTTCCTGTTTCACGGTGCTTGCCTGAGAGGACGCCGCACTCAGCGGCATCGAAAAGATCCTCGTGGTAAGAGGTGGCCAACATCTGCTGGTCTGGCACATTGGATATTGGTTGTAAAAGTATTAGTAGCAGTAGTAGTAGTCGTCGTAGTAGTAGTAGTAGCAGTAGTAGTCGTCGTCGTCGTAGTAGTAGTAGTAGTTTGGGACGAGTAGTAAGCTTTAGTGTTGGTTTTCGGTGCTTGACAGTCCTGGACTTGCGTGTTGTTGTGGATGAAGTGCGTGGGTTCTGCTGAGTTTCCGGCAGTGGTGAGAGTTGGAAACCTTTTTGGGACTTAAAGGGTTCAGGGTTTAGGGGTTTTCGATTTAAGTCACAAGCTCCTGTAGGATTGCCAGGCTTGAAGGCTTCGTAAGACGTGCACGGGTATCAAAAGCTGAAAGCTGTCGTGCAGCCGATTAACCCGTTCATCCGCCTTTATACATGTACTGCCCAGAGAGACATGCAATTAACCTCACCGGTACATAGAGCCACATATATGACGGATCTATGGGCACATGTGTAGCTATAATGTAGCACACCCTAAACTCGTAAACCCGAGGGTAAACCCCAAACACTAAACCATCAAGCCTCAGCCCCTTAATTCCCTAGACCCGACAGCCACCAAGACTTCAGAAAGGTATACACAGGTTGCCACCTGCCAGAGCTATCCTTTGATCCACGCTCTACAAGCTAGAAACCCCCACCCTAAACCCAAAAAGCCCTAAGCAGGCATGACCGTTCGAGGTGCGTCTCCCACATTAGCGTCAGAATGAGGCCCCAAGCCCTTGATTCTAGGGTTTAGGGTTTTTAGGGTTTAGGGTTTCGGGAAAGTTTAGGGTTTAGGGTTCTGGATGGCGTTCAACACTTGTTCCTGCAGGGGAGGCTGATGGGTTCCAACTCTAACGCAGAAGCCTATCTGTCATTGTGGCCCCGGTTGAACACCCAAGGTAACCCGGACACTATACCTGAAAGGAACCCTTCAAGACACGCTAAACTAAACCATAAACCCGTAAGAAACCTAAATTAGACCAACAGGCCTTCGACTCTTACGACTCGTGCGAGCGCTGCGCATGATTAGCCACTTCAAGGCTCAAATGTGCTTAGGGCATGTGCACAATGATTAGGAGCTGGGGCTTGTTATGTCTCGCGCTAAAGGGGTCCGGGTTCTATCGAGGAGTTCTATGGTTCAAGCTTCAGAGTGTCGGGTTCATAGGGGGTTCAGTTTCAAGGTCGTGCCGGTCTCGGGGATAGATCCGGCTTTAGGGTTGAGGTTCAGAATAGGATTCAGGGGAGATGTCGAATGCAGGGTAACTATAGTTGCAGTTCGTGAAGTATTGGGTACCTAGGTTTAGGGTTGAAAAGGTTTTAGGGGATACAGAGGTCAACGTCCTGTGCTCGGGCTATTTCAGTTGAGCCGTGGACTTCGGCGATAGAAGGGATTGTCCGGAACAGGATATGCCCATTGATCGAACCACCTATAGTTATTCGCTCATGTAATGATACAGTCGAGTGTGCCTGTGTGTGTATATATATATATGTATATGTAAAGAAAAATGCGCAAAGGCACAGATACAGTGAGAGTGAGAGAGAAAAAGGGGAGAGAGATTTGAGGGATTTGTGCTCATAGCTTCAACTGACTTCTCCACGAATCTCAACAAGTGGACCCAAAACGCCCTATGTGCTTCAAAAGATTGCGTTCAACACAAGGCCCCATATCCAAAGCCTAAAGCCTTAAACCGTTCTAACCCGCCAAAACCTGAAGAACCCTGATCACTAGTAGCTGCTGCTAAACCCTGAAGTCATTACCTGATACCCAAAGAGCCCAATACCCCGAAATCAAGGAATATAGCTTAAATCATGAAGCCCTATATAATTCAAGCAATAAGCAATATATTCCTTAATTAAGTGGTATTGGGCTCTCTGGGTAGGTGATGTGGCGGTTGGTGTACAGCCTGCTCACTGCTGGCCAGACAATGCGCTTTGGCCGTTACCCAAAGCCCTAAACCTTTTAAATCCTGGGGTTTACGGTTTAGGGTAAACCCTAAACTTTGAAAACCCCTAAACCCTCAACCCTGACGTGGCGGAGGTCCCTCTCTTGAACCTTTTCATACAAAACTGCATCAGGCGTGTTTAGTAGGGCGGGTATAAAGTTCGATGTAAGATTATCGCGCATAACCCCAATACATGCACTGATGAACTTTTGCTCGTGCTTACCAATTCCCCGGGTGCTCCGTGTGAGTCTCGCTACCGAAGCTTCGCACACTGCCGCGGGTGCAGGTGTAATGTTTGGGTTTAGGGGTTTCAGTTTTTAGGATGAGAGCTGGAAGAAGCGTGCAGATTTCATGCCTACCCACAGAGCTCGATACCACTTTTGCAACAGTTTAGGATGAGACAAGCTTCATAAAGCCCTATCCGGAACCCTTGTACTTTTAAACTAGACGAAAAGATCTGCATTGTTCAACCGTTCGCCCATTCAAACCAAAGTTTAAAGCTTGAGAACACTCAGTTGGTAGCCCTGCACCCTCAGCCCTAAATTCTACTCCTGGCCCCAAAAAACCCTGACTTTTCAAGGTCATTTAAAGATCTCCTAGCAAGGAGCCCGAAAGATTTTTTCCGAACCAGCCCCTCTCTAAACTCGAAATCCTAAATCCCCACAGCCCTGAACCCTGAGTCCCAAAAAAACGAAACCCTTAGACCCTAGTGCAGTATGGAAAAAGGTGTTCTAAAAAAAAATTAACGCGCCAAACACCCCTAACCCTTCCCACACTCCTAAACGCAAACCCTAAACCCCAAACACTTCAACCCCAAACCCCTGAACCCCTGAACCCTGAGCCCTGAATCCTAACCCCTAAAGCCTGAAACCCCGGACCTGATGCTCAAGGCTTTCGGCTACTGCTTTGATCATGCTCTCGCTTTTCATCTTCGGTTGCGTGAGCATCGAGATGCGCCCGGGATTTTAGGGGTTTGCTGGTTTAGGGTTTTATGGCTTGGGGCCGAGGGTTTATATACTAGGTATCGATTTGGGATAATTTAGCTTCCCGTATAGAGTCCTCATGATAAGTAATTTTGGTGACTGTTGAAATCGACCCCTGGTTCAGGAATTCTGACTTAAGGATTAGGGTTTAGGGTTTAGGGTATAGGGTTTAGGGTTTAGGGTTGAGGGATTGACAAGGATTTGGGGCTTCAGGGTTCAGGGTGTAGGGATTTAGAGATGTTGGAGGTTTAGGGTTTAGGGTTTAGGGTTGAGGGATTGACAAGGATTTGGGGCTTCAGGGTTCAGGGTGTAGGGATTTAGAGATGTTGGAGGTTTAGGGTTTAGGGTTTAGGGTTTAGGGTTGAGGGATTGACAAGGATTTGGGGCTTCAGGGTTCAGGGTGTAGGGATTTAGAGATGTTGGAGGTTTAGGGTTTAGGGTTTAGGGTTTAGGGTTCAGGGTTTAGGGTTTAGGGTTTAGGGTTTAGGGTTGAGGGATTGACAAGGATTTGGGGCTTCAGGGTTCAGGGTGTAGGGATTTAGAGATGTTGGAGGTTTAGGGTTTAGGGTTTAGGGTTTAGGGTTGAGGGATTGACAAGGATTTGGGGCTTCAGGGTTCAGGGTGTAGGGATTTAGAGATGTTGGAGGTTTAGGGTTTAGGGTTTAGGGTTTAGGGTTCAGGGTTTAGGGTTTAGGGTTTAGGGTTTAGGGTTGAGGGATTGACAAGGATTTGGGGCTTCAGGGTTCAGGGTGTAGGGATTTAGAGATGTTGGAGGTTTAGGGTTTAGGGTTTAGGGTTTAGGGTTGAGGGATTGACAAGGATTTGGGGCTTCAGGGTTCAGGGTGTAGGGATTTAGAGATGTTGGTTTAGGGTTTAGGGTTTAGGGTTTAGGGTTTAGGGTTGAGGGATTGACAAGGATTTGGGGCTTCAGGGTTCAGGGTGTAGGGATTTAGAGATGTTGGAGGTTTAGGGTTTAGGGTTTAGGGTTGAGGGATTGACAAGGATTTGGGGCTTCAGGGTTCAGGGTGTAGGGATTTAGAGATGTTGGAGGTTTAGGGTTTAGGGTTTAGGGTTTAGGGTTCAGGGTTTAGGGTTTAGGGTTTAGGGTTTAGGGTTGAGGGATTGACAAGGATTTGGGGCTTCAGGGTTCAGGGTGTAGGGATTTAGAGATGTTGGAGGTTTAGGGTTTAGGGTTTAGGGTTTAGGGTTGAGGGATTGACAAGGATTTGGGGCTTCAGGGTTCAGGGTGTAGGGATTTAGAGATGTTGGAGGTTTAGGGTTTAGGGTTTAGGGTTGAGGGCCTGGGGTGCTACAACTCCCAGGCTGCGCGAAACTGAGTCCGGGCAATGTTGGAACCCCTAACGTATCCTTAGTAGCTGAGTGGATACACTTTTTGGGAGAATATCACCCACTGTAAAACTGCAAATGTACACTTTTGGGGGGCTTATGAACTTAGCAACTAAGTATCGAAGCCTGTATGAACTAAGCCTCCTTAGACTCCTTCTATATCACCCTGCCCTACTATAGGAATAGCTACCAATACTAGTTGGGGCTCTCCCAAAAAAAATTGTAGTATAATCGACCCTAAGGCTGCACTCTAGTTATTGATGCCCCTTATGTTCTGTACCACCCGGATCCTGCATACATAATATACCCCGAGGATCCACAGTGAGCCTGACCTTCTGAAGACGGAAGAGACTGCGACCATCGTTCGGGAGTTGCTTTGGGTTTGGGGTTCAGGGTTTAGGATTTAGGGTTTGAGGGGGGCTTAGTACTACAGGGGTCTTCAGAGTTCGTTGCAATGTCTACTTACACTATACTAGAATGAGCCGCAGAACCTTTTCATAATTATCAATACATTCATGGTGTAGCGGACGCGCCCCCAGAGGCACTGGAGTCGATCAGAAGAAGAATACCCCTATAAGGTAAAAGCCAGAAAGTTGGAATATTATCCTAAACCCTTTATGGTAAATTACAAGGTATCCTAGCCTGAAACCATATTCCAACTTTCTGGAGTTCCCTTTAGTAGGGTTGAGCGGCTTATTGCTTGTTAGTGAGTCAAGGGTTTGGGGTGGGGGCTTCGGCTTCGGGGGTGCGTCCTTGTAAAGGGATCAATAAGGGTTCCTATTAAGGGGCTCCTTTAACGGGATCTATAAGGGTTCCTATTAAGGGGATCTAGAAGGGATGGTGAATCTCAATTTCTGTAGCTCTGTGGTTACTTGGAGGGTTGGGGGACTTAGTAACTGGTTATTTTAGGGACTTATAAGTGCCATAACCCCAATTAGGGTCCCTTTTCGGGTACTTATAAGTCTACTTACTACCTACTTACTAAGTCCCCCGACCCTCCAAGTATCTTTAGCTTACAGGTGATGGCAACCGCTCTACCCCTAAGCCCTTTACTCCTCAACCCCAAACCCCTAAACCTTAACCCCTGGACCTTAACACCGCGATAATGCATAAGTCTACTGTGGGAACTCAGCTGTTTCAGTTAGATGTGTGGGGTACAAGTACATAGGGTTTGAGGCTGTGGAGGTCTGGCCCACATACGGTTTGCAGCCCATGGCTTTCTTTTCGGGTTTGCAAATTCAGGGCTCAATTTGGATCCCAGTTTGGGCATGGAATTACTCCTTGCTTCCTGAGCCTTAAACCTCAATCCCTTAACCGTAAATTTTGTTTAGCCGTACTGGCCCTCGACGGCCAGCACTCCTGCTTGAGATAGTTTTCTGTGGGGAAGCTGGGTTCATAGCTAGGCTTGTTGTTTAATCGTCCGGCTTTTGGAGCTCGGGCTTTGGGTTTAGATTGTTAGTCATGATTTGGGGTTTCGGGTTCAGGGTGAAGTTTAAACCAAACTGAGCGATCCAGGAATAGCTTGAAGACTGCCGGCTGCATCAGACGAGCACCGGATCGGCTTGCGTTAACAAGCCCAACATGCAGACTCCTACCTTAACCTACCGGAACGCACTTTTTTTGTAGCGTCCCTAGATCAGGCTTTGTAAAAAGAACCTACAAAGAAGTAGGGTTTGGTAGTTTAAGGTAGACACCAGAATAAACTCAAAGTTGAGCCCTGAAGCCCTCCAACCCAAACTCCTAAACCCTTTTC